GCCGCCCCCTGCCCCTGCAGCTCCCACAGGCTGGCCTGCATCTCAAGCAGCTCCAGCATGTCCACCACCACCCAGAGGAGCCGGCCACGCAGGTCCTCCTTACGCCGGAAGGCGGCTACGTGCTCCAGGTGCTCGGTGGCCACCAGGACCATGTAGAGGGAGGGGATGCAGATGGAGAGCAGCAGGGTCAGGGTCTGGCGGGCCAGTGGGTCAGGGGCACGCCGGTCGGCCCGGTACCCTTGGTAGATGAAATAAAGCTTGATCTCCAGGGTGAAGACAAAGAGGAACCAGAGGGCCATGGCGTAGCCACGCCGTGGGGCCTGGGCCTCAGCACCCACCCACGCCCCCACGTAGCGCAGCACCAAGAGGAAGCACAGATCACCGGCCAGTGCCAGGGCCAGCACGCTGGCCCGCTGTGCTCCCGCGCTCAGTTCCAGCAGGTACACGTCCACTGCCGCCATGGTGGAGACCATCACCACCGAGGACATGCACGCGCCTGGCTTGCTGGCGGCGGACACTAGTGCCATGGAGCGGGGGAGCTCGGTCCTAGGGGGTGGCCAGCTGGCGGTACCTGTGGGGAGAAGACAGCAGAGCCATGAGAGACCAGACTGCAGACTTGGGACCCAGCATCCCAGCTAAGGAGGGATCAAGAGCAGACCACAGGGGCCCTGGCTATAGCCAGGGGAACCAAGAGCAGTTGTGGACTCTGGCCATTCTCACACCCTCCTGGGGCTAATGCTGGGCTGCCAGCATGAGTGTGTCTGAACGCCCCTGTGGTTAGTGCTGTGGGCAGGGCGTGGGGACTGGGCTCCCCTCTGCCCCCTGCATTGCAGGGGATTCTTTTCCCCGTTTGCTGCTCTCAGGAATGCAGCCCGTCCGAAGGGCTCCTGGGGAGGGCCTGGCCCAGCACCCTCCTGTAGTTCATCCCTGGCCTTTGCGCCTGCCCCACAGGGAGCTGTCTGCCACACAAGGCCCTCAGTGTTGCTACCGCTCTTGTGTGTGGGAGATGCCTGTAGGGGGTTGCCCAAGGGGCACAGCTAGACAGGGTGTTGGGAGTGTTCTGACTGTGTCGGCTCCCATACCTGAGGGGGACCATGAAACTGAGTCAGTCCTGTACCACAAAGGGAAACTGAGGCACTGAGCGAGAGGGGTTCTCCCAAGGACACATGGAGTAAGTGGCATTGCTGGGGCCAGACCGCCTGGCTCCCAACCTGCTGCTCTAGCCACTAAATTCAGTCTCCTCTCAGAATTGAGTGCAGGGCCTAGCACTCCTGGTGCTCGGCTCTAACACCACTGGCTCCACCAGCAGCAGGTGTGTGCAGGAGCTAAGCAATGAGTCATCTGGTTACTGATCCCAGCAACCGTCCTCTCATTATTAAGGGGCCAGCAAGGCGCTCCTCCCCTGCCACTCTGCTGTCCCCACAGCACCTTCCCAAGGCAGAGCAGCCAGTGGAGAGAGGAATCCTTCACCTGTGCTGCCCCATAGCAAACACCAGAAATACACATCAGCCATGTGCTTCCCCAAAATAGCTTGACCTGGCCTGGCATTACTGTTGATTAGGTATAAACAGCTGCCCTGCACCAGCCCAGATCCAGCTGCATCTTAGGAGCAGGTGAGGGATCCCTGTATAAAATCTCACACACCCCAAAACCCCTCTCCCCCAGGTGATGGTAGAGACCAAGGATCCAGTTTCTCAGCTGGCCTGATGCTGGTACAGCTGACAGTGCCAGCTCCTAACTTGGCAGCAGGATTTATGGATGATGGTGGGGAGGGGAGCTTCAGTGAACTCTTCCCATCACTGCCTTCCTTGCCTCCTCCCTGAGGATTGATCACATGGAGTTTGGAGGGAGTGACAGAGGGGGGTGGCACCTTTGGTGTCTATGGGCTGCTGGGCCGTGATCCAGTCCTGGAACTGTGGGACTGACTGGCTCCGGTGGGGATATCCATCTTCCGTGCCAGGAGGGCTGTGACGTGCCAGCCTGTGTTAGCGGCCTGCGTGCTCTGCCTCACCCCACCCCTGTGGAATCCAGAGCCTTCCATTTGGCTTGCTGGCCACAGGGTGCTCAGCCAGCCACGGTCCTCCCTGCAGGTGGGGGTGGGTGCTGTGCCTGCCCCTCACTCCTTGGTGCCAGCTTTCAGCCCAGCGAGTAGCTCCTGGGCTCCCTGCTCCCATGACTGTCCAGTTCATTTGCCCTGCCAGAGATGTCAGCTCCCAGCACCCGCACAGCAGGACTCTCAGGGACGCTTCCCAGGCTACGAGGCAGCCAGGGACTGTGCAGCATTGACACTAGAGCTGGTTATACAGGGATCTCACCGGGTGCAGAGAAGTAGCTGGTTCTAGGTTGGGGTTGGGAGATTGTTTAGGCTCGGATCCCCTGCTCAGTGCTGAGATGCAGCCACCTCTGGGGTGGAGCTGTGTCAAAGCAGCACTCCATGGGATACTAAAGGGGTCGATGTTCTGTCCCTGGCCTGGAGAGCAACAGACTGACCTGGGCATCCTTGTCCTCCCTGGGAGCAGGCCAGGCCTTGCTCCTCCCCCTGCATCTGTCCAGGGCTTGTGCTCTGTCCATCTGTCTGTGCCCTGCTCCCTGGCATGGGTCAAGCTGTGGGCAGTCCCCAGAGTTTGCTCCGTGCGCAGCCTTCCCTGTGGGGAGTGGTCACACTTTACCATGTGCCCCCAGGTCCTATGATCTCTGGGCCTGACCCCATCACACCTCAGTCCCCAATTCCCCCATTGTCTCCCCCGTCCTACTGCCTCTTCACCCCAGCTCCCACCCCATTGCTTCCTCCTCTCCCAACCTCGACTCCCCCATTGCCTCCCCCACCCTATTGTTTCCTCGGGCATGGTGGCAGCTGCTCAGGGGTGGTCCCCAGGGGCAGAGTGGCCTGTTCCCTGCTTCTCCCCCAACCTGTGGGTCCCCAGTGAGGCCAGGGTGGGAGGAGCAGCAGTGGCGCATGTACATGCAGAGGCGGGGCCTCAATCGCTGTGCTGCCCAGTGGGGACGGGGTGAGGAGGAGTAGTGGTCAGAGCAGCAGCTGGGAGCCAGGACTCCTGGGTTCTCATTCCAGTGCTGTAGGGCAGTGGGAGCTAGTGGTTAAAGGGGGGGGGCAGGGAATGAGGTTGTGTTCCAGGCTCTGGGAGAGAGATGAGGGTGGCATCACTGCTGCTTTCTGTGTGTCCTAGCACCTGTGCAGTCACAGCGCTTCTCCTGGGGCCAGGATTTCAGTCCCAACAAGGGCAGGACTGTCCGTGCGGGGGCGGAGTTACAGGTCTTCATCTAGGCCAGTGGTTCCAGACCTTTTTTATACTGAGGACTGGCAAACCCATTCACAAACTTCTGGGCGGACCAGTACCATTATTTGCATATTCATTATAGTGATTAATTTAAGAGGTCACGTGTTGTTTTACATTGCATCTGTGCGCACGCAGCACGTGCTAACGGATCCCAGTTTGCACAGATCCACAACGCTAAAAAGAATCCACAGAAAGAAATCCCCTCTGGCTGCTGGGTGGGGCAGCCCCTCCCCCAGGGCCGACTGGTGCCTGCTGAGGGAGGGGCACCCACAGGGGCAAGGGGCACGTGGGGCACCCTATTTAGCAAGTTAAATGTTGTCAGGGGCATAGGAGCTGGTGCTTTTAATTACTACCACCAGTCCCCCCTGCCCTCCCCCGCTCCTGCCACATGGGGGGAAGGGGGCGCTGCCTGCCATTGTATCTCCGCCCTGTGCCTCT